CTTTCGATGACCTCTCTCTATATATATAAACAAAAGCCTTTTCCTTTTATTTTATTTTTATTTTTATTTTTATTTTTATTTTTTTTATTTTGTTGGGCTTCTTCCTTGTGTGTTAAGATAGTAGGACCTGGTCAATAAATCCACACAGGTGATGTTGACTTTATGTTTGTTCAGATTATAAAATTAGTATACCTTTCGTAACCCAACTGATTGTCAAAGTATGCAAATCGCACGGCTGAACTTGAATACTGGGGATGAAGGAATAATGTTTGGGATGACTTGAGGAGGGTCCAATTTTTATTTCTTTGTTCAAGCATGATTAAGGACACAAGGTATGTATATAAAACCTCTTTTCTTTATATGACAAAAGTTAATGATGGTTAGAAAATATTTTGTTTAATTAGCAGCCACTGATGATGCTAATCTATGTTTTCAATAATACCAAACATATGTCTGACTTCTCTTCAGATCACCCTTGATTCTAAAAGATTAAATAATTAGTCAAATGGCTTCACACACAAATTAAGAGCAAACTTATTCTCACAAAGGTTTTAGCAAAATCCCAATTGATATCCATTGCATTTTTCTAGATTTCTACTCTTAAATAACGTTTTTCCTTTATTTTAACAGATTTCAATTTTTATTGTAACGCACGTTAGCACCCTAAAGTGCACCGAGCTTCTTTGACAAAATATTGCTTATATAGCAAAAAAAGGTTCAAGTTAGCAACTTCCAAGCTCACAGATTTTGGCTTTTATCAACAATTTTGAAGTCCAAAATCACTTTCTTCACTTGTTGACCTCACTTATCGTTTCCGATCACCTCCAAAGCACTAACGTGTTAGTTTAAGAGTGAAATCTGAATAAATCAACTAGGATATCAACTTGGATTTCGCTAAACCTCTGACATGATTTGTCGTTTACTCCACAAATTAATCATCCTCTCGTCAATTCTCCTAAGTAATTGTCGGTCCTGTAAAATAAAGGGACTGATCAATAATTTAATGATCTTTCACCGTTAAATTTATGTAATATACGTATTAATAATTTGAAGCAAGACAGGAGCTTAAAACGGTTTAGGCATTGTGATGAAAAGGCAAAATGACATGGATGAGTCCCATTTGTTTTCAAATTATGTATAGTAGGATACAACTGTCAACATAACATTATCATGTTCAATATGAACACAAATTGTATATATACGACTAAAAACAGGTCGTATTGATATACAATTGGTTCAGTCTATTTGCTAACTCTTTCCATTTTTGTCGCTATTTCTTTTTTCTTTTTCTTTTTTTTAAATGTCATTTAAATTGCAGATACTGTAACAATAATTGTTGTTGATTATTGAATTTAGAGTAATTATTGTAATAATACTGGTTTTCTTTTTACTCAGAAGACCGCCATGGCCCACGTATTTTTCTTTCTCCTTTTGAAAATGCTGTGAATCTTGTTCGAAATGTTTTTTATGTTTTCGGAAATTAAAACCCGAAGGGTTCAGATTGTCAAAATGGGCCAGAGAATGGCGTCTGTGTGTGTGATCTGAGGATCATTGAGGGAGTAATTGAGTTGGCATTTTTCAGCTGAATGAGGTTTTTTTTAAGAGTGAAAATCCACATGGAGAGGAAACGTGAAAGTAGAGATTGGGATTTGATCAAAGTAACAAAGTGGGCATGCATGCAAACATTGCCCAATTTCATAGTAAAGTAGTTGAAGTGCTGCTGGTTCATGACCGTTGATACCCAACACAAGAAAGGTCCCTCTTTGAGCTTCTTTTGTTTCTTTAATCTCAATTCCCAAACAAATGATGCAAATGTTTTTTCAAAGGCTGGAATATATGGAGTCTGATGGAGAGAATAATGTCTTTTTTGCAGCATAACAACTCAAAATGGATACAACTCCTATCAAACTCAAATTCTATTTATAATGTTGGGTGATATGATATACATATTACTGGTTTACCCTTTGAATCAACTCAATTTGCATCTTATCCAACTTTCAATACGACTAAATATACCCATTATTGTTAACATTGTCAGCTTTTTACTTTTGAGTCTGGCTGCAAATTCCCAAATATAGGCTCTTGGATGACCTAACCCATTATGAGTCGGTTAGGGTTTAAAAAAAAATTTAAAAAAAAAAAAAAACTGAACTTATTTTGTTCTAGTATATAAAGTGTAATGTTCATATGAAGACTTATCCGAGCTTTCTAATTATTTTACTTTCACACCCATATTGCTAAATTTTGGGTGATATGACATGAAAGGATATGATATGCATTTACCCTTTGAATTCAACTCAACTTCATGTTATCTAACTTTCAATACGACTAAATACACCTTATTGTTAACATTGTCAGCTTTTTTACTTTTGAGTCCGGGTGCAAATTCCCAAGTATAGGCTCTTGGGTGACCTACCATTTGATTGTTTAGGTTTTTTTTTTTTTAAATGCATTTACCCTTTGAATCAACTCACTTCATGTTATCTAACTTTCAATACGACTAAATACACCTTATTGTATTGTCAGCTTTTTACTTTTGAGTCGGGTGCAAATTCCCAGTATAGGCTCTTGTGACCAACCCTTATGATTGGTTAGGGTTTTTTTTTTTTAAATAAAAAAAAAAAAAAAAAAACTGAATTATTTTCTTCTATATATACAATGTGTACTTTTCATACGAAGACTTATTCATTTTACTTTCGACACCACATTGTTTTCATTTCTTAGTTTATGGGAAAAGTTCTCCAAAACAGTCTTATTATCTCACTTTATTGATGTAGTGAATCATTAAATATATTGTCACATATTTGTAACATTTTCTCTTTTATTCAACCATCATCAGGATTTTTGAGTAACTATAGTTATCATTATCAATAACTATCATTATAAGAGGTGTTTTGAAAACTAATATATTATTTATTTTATTGGACAGTCTTACTGTACAAAATGAGACCTCATATAAGTCGATCGGAGTCAGGAATTCAATTAGGGGGCAAGTTTTCATGCTCTATAATTTTTTCCCATGCAATGAGTTGAATTAAATTTCTATAACATGGGCCTTATTTATTCATAATCTAACTATCTTATTTATTTTGTTTTTGGACATGATTATTGGATTAAATAATTTAAAAATATATATATAACACTATTTAGGGTGTAATTGTAATTTTATAAATTACATGGGTTTTCAATAATTTAACGATGGCATTGACCCATCCTGGCCATTGGCTCTGTCTCTGCATATAATATTTCTCTAAGAGTATCCATATATATTATAAAGATTATCATTTAATTGACTTGGAGCAAGCTGTCTATTTTTTAAATAACGTAGACCGTTTAGACAAATTCAAATTTATTAGTATACCAATAAAATAATCATATAAATAAATATCAATTGAATTTACTCTTTGTTGGTAATATCATTAAATATTTATTAGCTGACAAACTTAGGGTTTTAACTAGTCTATCTCTTCGTTTAATTTGTCTATTCTGGGAATTATTCGTCTCTTCAGAGTAAAATAATTCATGTGTGAAAGGGTATTAAGTGCCCGTGGGAATAGTGACCTAAATAGTGGCTTATCTCATAGAGTTGATATGGTTGTCTTGTTAAATAGAGCTAATTAATTAAGAAGGGAATATTCATGTCCAAGTAATGCCACCAAGAAGTCGATGAAATGCATTATGAATCAATGTCAGAAGTCCAAGGTCCAGACAGAAGAAACAACAAAATAATGTCTTGCCAGGCCATCTTAAGTGGCTTTCCGGTTAATGTAAACAAACCTAGCTCCAATTTCACCTTTGAATTCTTGAAGAAGTTTCTTCAATTCTTAAAGCTTAGGAATATAATACCCATGACCATCATCAATCTTAGGCCGCCTAAAGCATAGCGTACTTTTTTTTTTTTTTTTTTTTTAATAACCGGGGGTATCCAAAGTCTAAACTAGCTTACGTATACCTGATCAACTAATTCTCCGAAATCTTAGAATTACCGGTCGAATAAGAGTTCGATTGGCTATCCCTATTAACACCCAATAAGAGATTTGAACTCAAGATCTGTTGAATAATACACTTAAAAATCCTCATCAAACAGCTCAACCACTTAGAGGTAGTTATCACTTAGCATGGCTTACTTAATATTAAAAAAAAAATGAACCCCAATTGAATATGATTGTTCACAGCGTTTACTGGTTATTTATTTTTAAATTAAAAGCGTTTAGAATTGGAGTGTTTTAGGTGTTTTTGAAACAATTGTTTTAGAAAATAAAAAGGGAAAAAATAAATTTTGTATTGTAAATGTGATGCTATTTAAAGGTTACTTTATTCTCAGTCAACGTTGATAAATAATTCTCAATATTATTTCGTTATCCCAATTTTCAGAATTTAAGATACAAATTCAAATAAATAATATTAGGCGGTGAGAGAGAGAATCTTTGGTGGTTAATGTTTGAAGGAGACGTTTTGAGTAATTTATTATTTATATATATATATATAGTGGAGGTTTGAAAAAGCCATCCATGACCGTGAGCCTCATGCAACTTTCGTGACCACTGACAAACAATGAACAGGCAGACATGCTGATGCCACCTTTTCCTCAGTCCTCACTCGAATTCAAATCTCCATTCAGAAAAAGTAAAACCAAATTTTCTTCAGAAATTAACCCACACTGATAATGACCATTATATATATTCCACATAATCAATATATTATAGTTGCTATTTTTTTTTCTTTTTTTTTAGTGATTAAAACTTTCCAATCAGTTTGTGTGCACCTTAATTAATCCCCAAAACCTTTAAGCGAACGATTCAATAAATCTCTTTAATGGTCATCTCTATTAGTGTCAGAAAAGACTCGAATTCGATAACTCATGTTGAACCTCTTTGCTCTTTTACTATCAGTGTTATCCAGTGATTGTTATTTGCTTAAATATTAATTTTCTACTCATTTTCCTTGACATGGATTTAATTTACATTATATCTTAATACATAGCCAAGATAAGGTTTAAATTCATGATCACAATAACTAAAAATTCCATATATCTTTCTCTTGAATTAATGTCATATATAAACCATGCATACAAACATGCATGATTTGAATGTTGAGAAGAAAGTCTCTCTACATTATATTAATTAGCTGTCTCTCACTTTCAATATTGGTTAATAACACTTTGATTCAGTCCTCGTGGCTTTATGTCAGCATATGAAGAATCATCTAAGTTTGGATACCAGACTAGAGGCACTTCATGATGATGATCATGACCAGCTTTCTGTTGAAACCAAAACCCATTACTCACAAACTCATGAGGAACTCCAAAGCTGAAATCCATGTAACCGCTGTTGTCCATGGCAAGAGAATTCGATTCTGAAGCACATGAACCCTCTTGAGAAGATGATGTAACAATGGGACTGTTCTTCAAGCTTGTACCACCAAATTCAGAAATGCAACCAAACTGATGATGGTTTGGGTCTAAAGTACTTATGCTTTGAGTATTGACAGTCATTCCATAGCCATTATCACCTAACACTGGGTATAGTGGTGAAGAAATCTGAGTTTGTGAAGCTGAAAATTCGGTATCATAGGGTTCAGGTTTTGGTACAGAAGGCAATGAAGGTGTTGAGTCAAGAAAAGCAGAAGCAGTGGGATTGCTAGTTGGGAACTTGTTACTCCTGTTTGTGATGAGGCTTATTTTTCCTGCAAGTAGCTTCTTCTTTAGCTTGGTATTCCAATAATTTTTCACGTCATTGTCAGTTCTTCCAGGTAGATGAGAAGCTATGATCGACCACCTAACAAAAATCACAAGTGGGACATAATTATTTGTTGAAAAATCAAACTTTATATCTATATAAATAATATACTTACTATACTTTACGAGAAAAAATCAAGGCTAATTAAGTAACAGAAAATAAATCTACCTGCTTCCCATTTGACTATAAAGAGTACATATAATCTGATCTTCATCTGCAGTGAAATTCCCATGTTTGATGTCAGGCCTGAGGTAATTAAGCCACCGTAAACGGCAACTCTTGCCACATCGTTTAAGGCCTGTCACACGAAAAAAGATTAAGATGAGACTGAAGAAGTGGAAACTAGAAACCATTAAGCCGATGAATATTTGTTTATAGAAATAATTAGCATTGACATTTAATGCATAATTACAGGTATATATAAAAGTGAATATTTTCAGGAAAATAACCTCTTTTTCTATGAAATTTTACGATATAAACCAATCAATAACTTGGCTTATGGAAACACCAGCTATGTATATTTGTATAATATATACAATTAGCGATCAATGATGTACGGACTTGAAACTGGTCCTGGAACAAAAATCAGAAACAAGAAGACAAACTCCAGTTGCCTGTCTACATTTCTTATGAAATCAATGTATAGTACAAATTCAAAAGGGTAAAGAAAATTACTTTGCAGTCCATATAAGAATTAGCAGAAAAGCTACAGGAATCTGGAAAAACTTGAAGAGAAAATGGGAAAGAAAAAAAAGAATATGAAAAACACTGGCTCTCTCGTTCTTGTACTGCTGTCAAGTTGTGAAAAAATTAAAGAAACTAAAAGCCTAACTCATAAAACCTTCATCAGATATATATAGAAATTAAAGAAGAATAACAAAATATATATATAAAGGAAAAAAAATTATCAGTGCCGAATGAGTAATAGATCCATGGATCGATTCTTTTGCTTAAAACCACAAATAAAAAATAAGAAATCTTCATTTCTTGAGTTGAAAACAAGGACTTGAACTCTCATTTCGTGAGATAAGTTTGTTTGCCTGTTAGTGTGAGTGTGTGAGTGAGAGAGAGAGAGAGAGAGAGAGAGAGAGAGAGACCTGCTTTCTGAGGCAAAGCAATCCAGTTACCACCAGTGCCATGATTCTCAACGTAGCGTTTGAGAGTAGCATCTTCTTCAGGAGACCATGGTCCTCTTTTCACGTTTGCTTTGTCACAACATGGAGCTCTTCCCATGGCTGCTCTTGCTCACTTGAAACAAAGAACCCACAAAGAAAATCTTAACACGCAAACGTTTGAATGAAGTAAAAAAAACAAAAACAGTGGGTACCTGTTCTGGTTAAGGGTTTATATATTGATGGCGCCTTTTTAAGCTTGAGTGCTTGACTTTCGATGACCTCTCTCTATATATAAAGTATAAACAAAAGCCTTTTCCTTTTATTTTTTTATTTTTTATTTTTTATTTTTTATTTTTTTTTTAATTTTTGTTGGGCTTCTTCCTTGTGTGTTAAGATAGTAGGACCTGGTCAATAAATCACACCACGTGATGTACTGACTTTATGTTTGATCAGATTATAAAATTAGTATTACCTTTCAGTAACCCAACTGATTGTCAAAGTATGCAAATCGCACGGCTGAACTTGAAATACGTGGGGATGAAGGAATAAATGTTTGGGATGACTTGAGGAGGGTCCAATTTTTATTTCTTTGTTCAAGCATGATTAAATGGACACAAAGGTATGTATATAAAACCTCTTTTCTTTATAATTGACATAAAGTTAATGATGGTTAGAAAATATGTTGTTTAATTAGCAGCCACTGATGATGCTAATCTTATGTTTCAATAATACCAAACATAATGTCTGACTTCTCTTCAGATCACCCTTGATTCTTAAAAGATTAAAATAATTAATGTCAAATGGCTTCACACACAAATTAAGAGCAAATGACATATTCTCACTAAGGTTTTGCAAAATCCCAAGTTAATATCTTATATTGCATTTATTCTATATTCTCACCTTTAAAATAACATTATTTCCTTTATTTTAACAGATTCTCAATTTTTCATTACAACGCCCGTTAGCACGCTAAAGTGCACCGACGCCTTCTTCTGCAAAAAATTGGCTTATATTAGCAAAAAAAGGGTTCAAGTTAGTAGCTTCCAAGCCAACAGATTTTGGCTTTTATCAACCAACTTTGAAGTCCAAAATCACTTTCATTCACTTGTTGACCTCACTTATCGTTTCCGATCACCTCCAATAGCCACTAACGATATTAGTTTAAGAGTGAAAATCTGGAATAAATACAACTAGGGATATCAACTTGGGATTTCGCTAAACCTCTGACATGAATTTGTCGTTTACTCCACAAATTAATCATCCATCTCTCAAGTTCCTACTAAGTTAATTGTCGGTCCTGTAAACTAATAAAAGGGACTGATCTATAATTTAATAGATCTTTCACCGTTAAAATTATTGTAATATACGTATTAATAATTTGAAGCAAGACAGGAGCTTAAAACGGTTTAGGCATTTTGATGAAAAGGCAAAATGATATGGATGTAAGTCCCATTTGTTTTCAAATTATGGTATAGTAGGATACAACTGTCAACATAACATTATCATGTTCAATATGAAAAACACAAATTGTATATATATACGACTTAAAAACAGGTCGTATTGATATGACAATTGGTTCAGTCTATTTGCTAACTCTTTCCATTTTTGTCGCTATTTCTTTTTTCTTTTTTCTTTTTTTTTAAATGTCATTTAAATTGCAGATACTGTAACAATAATTGTGTTGATTATATTGAATTTAGAGTAATTATTGTAATAATACCGGGTTCTTTTTTAACTCAGAAGACCGGCCATGACCCACGTATTTTGCTTTCTCCTTTTGAAAATGCTGTGAATCTTGTTCGAAATGTTTTTTATGTTTTCGGAAATTAAAAAACCGAAGGGTTCAGATTGTCAAAATGGGCCACGAGAATGGCGTCTGTGTGTGTGATCTGTAGGATCATTGAAGGAGTAATTGGAGTTGGCATTTTTCATCTGAATGAAGGTTTTTTTTTAAGAGTGAAAATCCACATGGAGAGGAAACTGGAAAGTAGAGATAGTGGGATTTGATCAAAGTAACAAAGTGGGCATGCATGCAAAAGCATTGACCAAGTTCATAGTAAAGTAGTTGAAGTGTGCTGGCTGGTTCATGACCGTTGATACCCAAACAAAGAAAGGTCCCTCTTTGAGCTTCTTTTTGGTTTCTTTAATCTCAATTCCCAAACTAAATGATGCAAAATGTTTTTCAAAGGCTGGAATATATGGAGTCTGACGGAGAGAATAATGTCTTTTTCGCAGCATTAACAACTCAAAATGGATACAACTCTCTATCAAACTCAAATTCTACTTATAAATGTTCGGTGATATGATATGATATGATATGATATGTATAGATTTACTGATTTACCCTTTGAAATCAACTCAATTTGCATCTTATCCAACTTTCAATACGACTAAATATACCCATTATTGTTAACATTGTCAGCTTTTTGCTTTTGAGTCTGGCAGCAAATTCCCAAATATAGGCTCTTGGATGACCTAACCCATTATGAGTCGGTTAGGGCTTTAAAAAAAAATTAAAAAAAAAAAAACTGAACTTATTTTCTTCTAGTATATATAATGTGTAATGTTCATATGAAGACTTATTCGAGCTTGCTAATTGTTTTACCTTCAACACCATATTGCTAAATGTTGGGTGATATGACATGAAAGGACATGATATACATTTTTACCCTTTGAATTCAACTCAACTTTCATGTTATCTAACTTTCAATACGACTAAATATACCCTTATTGTTAACATTGTCAGCTTTTTAGTTTTTACTTTTGAGTCCGGGTGCAAATTCCCAAATATAGGCTCTTGGGTGACCTGAGCCATTATGAGTAGGTTAGGGTTTTTTCAAAAAAAAAAAAAAAAAAACTGAATTTTTTTCTTCTAGCATATACAATGTGTACTTCATACGAAGACTTATTCATTTTATGTTTTCATTTCTTAGTTATGGAGAAAAGTTATCCAAAACAGTTTATTATCTACTTTATGATGTAGTAAGATCATTAATAAATATTGACATATTGTAACATTTTCTCTTTTATTCAACCATCATCATGATTTTTTAGTAACTATATGTTATCGATTATCAATAACTATCATTATAAGAGGTGGTTTTGAAAACTAATAATATATTTATTTATTTTATTGGACAGTCTTACCATGTCACAAAACTGAGTAACTCATATAAGTAGAGGCGGAGTCAGGAATTCAAGTTAGGAGGGGCAAATTTTTATGCTCTATAATTTTTTCCCATGCAATGAGTTGAATTAAATTTCTATAACATGGGCTTTATTTATTCATAATCTAACTATCTTATTTATTTTGTGTTTGGACATGATTATTGGATTAAATAATTTAAAAATATATATAAACACTATTTAGGGTGTAATTGTAATTTTATAAATTACATGGGTTTTCATAATTTTACGGATGGCATTGGCCCATCCCCAATACTGGCTCTGGCCCTGCATATAAAATGTTTCTCTAATTTCAGCACACACATGTAAGACTTTTTAATTTCCCCTGAGTTATCAATAAATAGCAGTGTCCCCCCTTAGATATCATAAATAACATATTAAGTATAAAGTACTAGTTAGATGATGGAAACATTAATAAAATAATGACTATAAAACATAAATTGTTATTTTAGATACCTGAGGGAGAAATATGTTATTTTATGATACTTTAAAAGGAAATAATAATAAATTCTACAAATAAATGAATAAATATAAAAATACAAGTACAAAACGGTTGTAAGAGGTAAAATTACCTTATTAATCAGTCACATTATCAAGTAACTATGTGGAGGTAACTTTTTTAAGACGAGAATAAGAAAAATTATAACTTATTACAATATAAATATTATTTCTGTTTATAACTATTTTAAGTTATGATTTAAATTTTTGTTGACTATATAAAGTATTATTATAAAGAGGTTGTAATATAGTTACACAGTTGTGTAGATGATGGACTCTGTAACAAGTGATATGATAAGGCATGTGAATATTACATCACTTAAGATGTGTAATTTTTTATTTATTTATTTTTGTGTATGTATAGACAATGAATGGGATTAGGCAAAATGAAAACCTAAAACGGAGTCACAACCTAAAGGCTAATAGGATTGGCAAGGCCAGTTGCATGGCCCAACCAGAGCCCAACTAGAGCGCAACAGTATATCTTTTGTTTGGAGGCCCAAATTAATACCTAATTGTTTTTACAATACGTCATAAACAGCTTTAAAATTTAAATGCCAGTGGAGCTCTACAAAATTTTACATAATCCGTTTTCTAAATACACCTAAATGTGTTTTTTATACCGTATTTTACACGACGACAGTTATATGATTTTCAAATTCAATTATTCTAATTTTTTTTTTTTTCATTCATTATTTGTATGACTTATAAAATTAGTATCTTAACTATTATAGTTGATGAGATAACAACACCGTATTAATAATTACATCGAGTGATATTAATAATTAACCATCTCTGGGTGATTTAATAGTAAAAGAGTAAAGGAGGATCTAACATGATCTCCCGAATTCGAGTCACATTGATAGTAAAAGAGTAAGAGAATAATCTAACATAGTGTCCAAAGTTTGAGTCCCCTTGGGGATAAAAAAACAAGAGAATGATCTAACATGATCTTCCGAGTTCGAGTCCCCACGGTTACTAATAGGGGTGGTCACTGGAGCTTGTACCTAACCGGTAGTTTCAGGGTCCCGAAGATTAGTTGAAATGCGCATAAGCTGGTGTGGATACCTCCGTCATCAAAAGAAAAAAAAAAAAGATACCAATAGTTGAAATCCCAATTATATAAACATTATTTATTCAACAAAGGAGTTCAAGTCCCCTTAGAGGTAAAAGAGCAAGAGAATGATCTAACATGGTCTCTCGAATTCGAGTCCTCACGATTGTTAATAAAGATAGTCACTGAAGTTCATACCTGATCGATAGTTTCAGGGTCTTGAAAATTAGTTGAGAGACGTAAATTGGTGCGGATACCTCCATCATCAAAAGAAAAAAAAAAAAAAATCAATAGTTGAAATCTCAATTATATAAACATTATTGATTCAACAAAGGAGTACAAACAAATTGAAGTGACAACGCAGGAAACATTGCATTAGAGGTTAATTAGGTCACACCCCTCAGTGGTAGTACAATTTGTTTGCAGTATAAACGGTAGGAATTAGCGCACTAGGGCCCAACTCCAGGCAATAATTTAGCAAAATCATTCATGGAGTCAAAAGTGAGTGAACAATAATTTAGTCGAATTCAATGAATAAAATTTGAGAAGAGATAGGAAATCAAAGCAAGAAGATAGCGGTTTAGGTGTACCTTTGTAACTCTCTAGTGAAATGTCAATTTGACAGAAGTGACTGCCCAAAGGCCCCATCCACAGATGTTATTGGACCGGAATTGAATCATTATCTGGACCAGAGTTAAACCAATCCATCTCTTATCAATCTTTTTCAAAGTTGATTTTTTGAAGAATTGGAGCGTGTGGTTTAGGGTTTTGAGTAATACCGACATGAAAACCTAATCTCACAACTCAATGTGATAATTGAGTTGGCTTCCACCATATTCAAGGCATTAAATGACTTTAATTAGATATAAACAGTCATTTTTTAGTAACGAACGATCATTTTTTCATAAGAACGATTGTTCTTCACGAAGGATCAACAATTCTTAATGAATGAACGATCGTTCGTCTCTAAAAAATGACTATTCATATTTAGTCAAAATCGTTAGTTGATATGGTAGTGTCAACTTTATTATCACGTTAGAGTTGTTAGAAAAAGTTGTTAAATTGAGTTATGAACTAGTATTTTGGTAGAGTTTTTGCTTGTAAAACTTGGATTTTATGAAACAACAAACAAAAACCTTTTTTCTTAACTTATGACGTGGCAAAACTTATCATGTTCTCGTTTTTCCTATTAATAATCCACTATTATCTTTTGTACATATACTCACACAGTCATGACTCGTATATAAAACTCACTTTTACCTAAAATTCCCTTCTTCTGTTTTTAAAATTAAAAATCAATTATTTACAAAAATATATTATAGTCTGATCATTGAATTCTTGATAGCTTTTAAAAATTAAAAGGAAGAAGAAGAAATTTCAAGTTTAGGTTATGAATTTAATTTCTTTTATATAATTAATCAAATGTTACTCTATTTTTCTTTTTTATCCTCTATATAATATATATATTTGAATTCTTTCTATGTTGGTATAGCTAACCTTAAATTTATTATAGTCTGGTCCCAATCCTTAAGACTGGAAATGAAATGGTTAAGTGGGTCCGATATTGTGGTGTTGGGCCGCACAATAAGGATATGAAGAGAAGAGGTGTAGGAGAATGTAGCAGCCACGATGAAAATGACTTAGGTCCCATGCTACTTGTCCAATATGATGGCACCATTAATATTGTAGTTGTAGTACCATATCACCACCACATACATGCCCCCGGATCAGACACCTTGGCCCCAAAATCATAACAGCTACTGTCTATGTTTCTGCTCTACCATTACCAGACACAAATACACTTTGTTTTCTTGTTTAAGTTTTACTTATTATTATTTTTTGTAAGTCTAATTTTAAATAAATCTTACGCCCAATTGAATTTATGTGATATTTCTCTCCAAATAATAAATTTTCTTTTTCTTTTTTATCATCAAAGTATTTAAATTAGTTTATACATATTTTTCAACTAATGTTTCGGGATATGGAATAAGTAAAACCGTAAAAGTTTGATTTGTCTTTTTTAAACTGGAAAATAAATTTAATTTTCTTTTTAATTTACACAACCAGTTTGATGTGAAATAAGGAAAAACCAAAACTGTCCATATCCATTATTTAACCAAAAAAAAAAAAAAAAAGACTTTATCCAAATGTATAAAGTCTAAGTGGTGGCGTACGATCTGGGATGGATAACATTAGGACCAGGGTTCAGTAGCGCCAAAGATAGGTATAATAATTACTGAAGAAGCAAAGGATTACCACAACGTAAACGAAAGATAAAGGAGTCATAGGCATAGACTCTAACGTCTGAGACTTAATAAATGGTTAATACCGTCGTTCAGACTTCAGACTTCGGTCAGCTTAATTTAAAGCTGTAGATATCACAAACTTTCCCTGTTTTTTAGCTTTAAATGCTGCAACTGTTTACTCAAATATTACAGTTTAACTCGTCGTGCTTTTACAACTTACTGACAAGAATAAAATAGAGAATTGCTAAAATGCACCGAGGCTGGCCTGTAGCCTGTAGCCCCGCCGCAGAAACTGCCAAGTGGTTCTCGATAAGCAAATAGTTTACCACAGTTGGCTTAAACCTATGAAACCAAATCACAAGTTTCTTGTGCATGGTTGCCACTCGCTGCCATCAGACTGACCTTTATGTCACCCCCTAGATTTTCATATTTCTCATTTTTCTTGTTAGATTCTCGTGTCTTCCACAAAATTTCGTGAGCTATCTTTTCTCTTTTCACGTTTATTTGTTTAATGACATGTATAAATTAATGTCCAGATGTGAATTATTTAATTCTTACATTAAAAGCTTCTTTAGCAATATAAAGTATATCCAATAGAAAAAAAAAAAGACGAAAATTTTTGGAAAGATTTCATCAGAATTCCTTTGCCCGATGAAGGAAACAATTACCGTGAGTAAATGTTGTTGTGCTAAAATCAATCACCAATCATAATAAGGTATTAGTCACCAATTAAAATCAAACAATAATTAAAGTTTAGAAAGTGTGAGCAATCATCAATTTAGTCAAAATATCTCCACATGTCTTAACACTATTAGATTTTTTGATAGAATTAAGGAGAATTCTGCATATAAGTAGACATTTTGCTAAGTAATCATCACATTAAACTCGACTGTATAAATGAGCAATGTTCTTGATAAATGAGGGTTAGATATACAACCGAGCTTAAGTCATTATTTTTTTTTTTAAATAAAACATTACCTTATCTTTGTACGTCTTACTAATAATATTAAAAAACAATTAGAGAATAATAAAATAACAATGAAGGTAAGACTTACTCATAACATTCGAATTATTCTAAAAATCTCTTTTATCAATTTTATTTATATATTAATAAATAAACATTATTACTACACTATAAACATTCCTTATAATTATCCACTTATAACTTCATAACATTTTATATTTACGTATTTTGTTGGTTAGCCATTAAATATTAACAGTGTTATCTGATTAAGATTATCGGCTATTCGGCTTGATATTTGATGCTACTTTAAAATGATAAAGCGCATTTAATCATTTCAGTTGGTCGGTATGTATCAATTCTCCTTAGATGATAAGTTTTTATTACATAAAAATCAACGATATTTTCACCTATTTTCTCACGAGATGTGATAATTACCCAACATATCCTTACATCTCCAAGCCGTCTGAGAGAGACAGTACTAAACTACTAATTGTCTGACCCTAAATTGATAAATTATATTTTAACCCCCTAAATTAGTAAAATTATTTTACCATTTTATTTTCAAATTATCTCAATAACACCCTCAATCACTACACACCTTCTCAATTTTTGCTCGATCTGGGCTGTTTTCGACAGCGTCGAACCCCTTGGTCACCTCCATCACCTTTCTTGAAATTTTTCATCCAAAACCTCTTTGGTTCCCAACTCATTGGCCCCTCTAATTGCTAGTGTCGTTAGGATTAGGGTTTCTCTATTCTTTGCTAGATTATGGTTGATTCCGACGTAAAAAATCCAATTGGACACTACCACTGCAACCAGCGTCTCTAACTCTATAGAACCCCTATGTCTCCAGTAATCGTTTAGTCATCATTCGCGGGCTGAGAGTTCATGTTCATCAACCATTTTTTGGTGAAGTGGTGGACGACAAACATGAGCTATCGTGGCTGAGAAGGTTAGGGATTTTATAGGAGACGGTGTGAGGAGTCAAATGGTGGCGGTGGTTAGGGTTGTTACCGTTCAAAACGGCCAAAAACCAGTAAAAACTAGTTGCATGTCGTGACCGGCGATTGGCGAGTGATGAGGGGTTGTGAAGGGTAAGGTTTTATAGAGGGGAAGATGGGGGTTCCAATGGTGGTGATAAGAGTGATTTTGGGTAGAAGAATCACTGAAAAAAGGGTAAAAAATGTTAGAGACGCCGTCTGCTAATGTGTATCGAAGGACTGTTAAAGACAGTGATCTGTTAATGTGCGTCATCCATATAAAATGACTAATTTACCCCTTTAACGTTATATCAAACATGTTTCTGTCAATTTAAGGATAAAAATCTGGAATAAATGTAACCAGGGATATTAACTTGAGATTTTGTCAAACCTTAGGTGGGAATATGTCGTTTACTCTTTAATTTATTACTTTTCCCCATGCTAAAAACTTAACAAGTCACATTAATAAGATCAAATCAAAAGTGCGTTAAGATGATTTTATTGATTTTAGACACAAATTTTAGGATAAGGTGGTAAATGTCACTATTCTTAAATTTTGGATTATATGTTCTTTCGAAAAACTGAGGACTGAACGGATACTTTCACCTTACCAGAATAGAGACCGTCTGATCATTTTTATATTTTTTTAAAATGTCTTGATGGTATTCAATGACATTATGATAATTGCATCCTCTATACCCTAAAAATTGCAAACAGTATTATTTTCAGGGTAAAAAATTGGAATAAATGTAACTTAAAATACCAACTTAGGATTTCATCAAATCTTGGGTGGGGATACGTCATTTACTCTAAATTAAAATTTAAAAGTCACTTCTAAATATTTGAGGACCCACTGGTAATTTCAAGAAATCTTGAGGACCAAAATTTCCTTAGCTCAGAGCCTCAGACAATCTTTATTTAAAAATTGGACCCACTCACACAAATGGTAAAACCCACCACCAAAGTCTTATGATTGAAATCAACGGAAACCATTTGGCTGTGACCAAATATTGTCAAACTGGCAAACAACGCTATTCTTATATCCAAATTTTTAACCGAAGGTAGATTATGCAACCTAACTATAGTTATTTTAAACCCAACCACGGTTAAAGAAGTAGTTTATATTGCCGAGATCAGCCTATGTTTTGTAAATGTCCAAAGATGATGATGATCGGCGAAGTCCCCACTAGACCAAATCCCACCATCCAAATTCCCCCATGGGACCCATATGATGATCCGGCGGCTATCCTGTCTCCTTCCTACCACGGCATCAACCCTTCCGTCAACTTCAACGGCAATGAAAATGGTCTGGATTCTCTGATGGCTTTCCACCGGTACCTGCCGTCAAACGAGTTCATTTCTACCAAAGAGTCGGACTCATTGAGTGATGACTTGGACTTGCCGGTGGATGCGTATTCGTGCGATTTCTTTCGCATGTACGAATTCAAAGTACGGAGGTGCGCACGTGGCAGGTCACATGACTGGACAGAGTGTCCGTACGCCCATCCGGGAGAGAAGGCCAGGAGACGTGACCCGAGAAAGTACCACTATTCGGGTACGGCATGTCCCGACTATCGCAAAGGCGGGTGCAAAAAAGGCGACTCTTGCGAATTTGCTCATGGAGTGTTCGAGTGCTGGCTCCACCCAGCCAGGTATCGGACTCAGCCATGCAAGGATGGTTCGGGTTGCTCCCGCCGCGTTTGTTTCTTTGCTCATACACCCGAACAGCTTCGTGTTTTGCCACAGCAGAGCCCCAAGGGGAATCCAAATGTGTCGACTGATTTTGATTATGGGTCTCCTATTCGCCGCCGTTTTGATTTTGACTCGTATGGTGGTGGCTCGTTTGTTTCTTCACCGACTTCTATTTTGACATCGCCTCCTGTTTCTCCGCCTTCTGACTCGCCACCAACCTCGCCGAGTTATGACGGATCGTTTAACTCTGTGAGTGAAGTCGTGGGTTCCATGCGAGGCTTGCAGATTGGGAAGGTTAAAATGGGTAAAGCTTCTGCTTGGGGTTTACAAATGGGTCCCGGTTACTTGTCGCCCCGTGGTTCAATGCTTAAACCCGGTTTTTATAGCCTTCCTTCAACTCCGACCCAGACCCGGGTTCGTTCCGGACCCAGTCAATTCGATCTCTGGGAAAGTCCCTGCCAAGAAGAGCCATCCATGGAAAGGGTCGAATCTGGAAGAGACTTGAGGGCAAAGATTTATGCTAAACTGAGTAAGGATAATTCTCTTGATCGAGTTGACTCGGCCTCGTCAGCTCCTGATGTTGGGTGGATATCGGAACTGGTGAAGTGAATCTGTATAGATTCATTTCCGTTTTGATTGAATTTTTGTTGGCTAATTTCGGAAATCGTGATAATCGGCGGCCTTTGTTCTTCTGTCTTTGTGAATATGCAGTTGGATTTTGGATATTGCTGTGTAAATATCCTGACAGCTTGAGAGGATGTTAATTCTCCATTTTGTGGTGCTTTTAATTTTGGTTAAGAAAGATTGCAACTTTTGTACAGGGAAGGATTTGTCAGGCTGCCGAAGAACGGATGGCGGTTTGTTTTATTATTTCATCTTTGAATTGTATTTTCTTTGGACATTATGTCTAATTTTCTCGGAAAAATATTGTCGATTGTATGTTTATCCTTAATTAATGTAAATATGATTTCCATTTCTGCAAATCCTGAAGAATATCAGCGTGTTAATCTGCATAATCTTCTTTAAAGAAATTAATCCAATGTTATCATGTATGTGACGTGGGTTTAAACAGATAAGCCCGTAAAAAAAAAAAAAAAACAAAAAAAAATAGATAAATGTTTTAGTTTAGTTTATCTACTTGTTGCCACTTGTTGTTGACTAAGTGTAGTTGATAAACACTTGATGTGAAAGTCTTGAGGAGATTGGATACGGTGTAGGGACCGGACCGTTTAAAAATCTCGGAACTGTTGGAGATGGAGTTTTTTATTACATTAGAATTTAGAAAGAATTGAGTAGAGGGATAGGGAATGAAAGCGGCCGACAGAGGAGACGGTAGTTCCAAGATTTGGTTCATTTTTAAGTTGTTGCTGAAGCACTAGGCCTAAAAGTTACTGGGAGTAGCGAGAGATTCTGTGGTGGCGTGCTCTTCAAAATTGTTTCAGTGAGTGTGCGTCAAATCGGCCTTATTATAATCATCAATATTCATCACTAAAGTTCTCATATCTTTGACGGTGGGTTTGTTGTGGGGTTTTGTTTGGATACATTGATATCCTTTTCCTATCCATGACTGGGAGTGGGACCTCATTTCTCAAATGGTACGTTTATGATTCTTTCAATGATAATGGTACTCTTTACGTATTAAAATTTAATATATATATTTATTTTTTGTCCGATATTAAGTATTTAGGCCACTTTACTAATTAAGCAATAAGTTATAAATAGGGTGTTAGTATTTTTAATAAATATTTTTGAAAAAATAAGAGTTTGGTGGAAATAACGAGGTAAGATTTAAAAATTAACAAAAATATTTTTTAAAATTTGTTAATTTACTAAACACCCTTTAATAAAAACATTGAAAATTATAAAAAACACATCCACACACTTATTAAATATCGTCAGTTGGTTATCACCATCAGAAGGTGGTCGGAGTCACTGTATCTATATTCGATTGATTGGATCTGGTCAATCGTTGGTCAAGATGGCCTTTCTCGGTCAAATCCATGACGGCTACATCTTAGTCGCCGTCGATGATTAGTTACAGCCAAAGATTTGGTCATAAACAGTCATATCTTTGGTAGTAGATCTGACATTTTCTAGTCAGATCTATGGTGGATCTGATCGAAAAAAGCTATATCGGTGTACTACTAGTTAGATCCAATTGGTAATATATCATTATTACTAGATTCTGGTCACATTCTTATGGTGGTAGTCAGAATTTGGCAAATGTGGGTGGATGTTGGTGTTTTTGTCAATTTTTAACTTTTTTTTGAAGGTGTTATGTTAAATTAACAAATGGTTTAAAAGTAATTGAATAAAATAGAATAAAATTGTCAGAAACAAATATGTATTTTCAGAATTATAGGAATAGAATAGTATAAAAATATTAAAACAAATGGAGCATAATTATACATTATATTGTGTTTTATTTTTGTTATCTTATATATAATTTATAATAAAACACGTTGTAATTATAATTAGTTTAAATCGGTTACCCTATACATTTGTCCTTAATTTAATAGTTCCATATTTTCTATTATTTGCATCTCTGTTTACAATTGGCATGGGCTTCATAAATAAAAGCATGAATTAATTTTGACAGAATTAGGGGAACATGCGACAAATTATAAATTTCCTTCACTAAATGGAAACTATTCAATCAACATAGTCCTAAAAATGGCACTGAACCTGTCAAACACTATTGCTAGAGTTATGGATGGAGAAATGTGTATTAATAAAGGGATCAAATCAAAGAGCGAAATATGTAATGGTTTGACAATAAAACCTTCACTTGGACTCTGAAATATATGTTAAGCATTTTATTTTTTGGGTTTTCGGGTGCACCTCAATTAGTTTTTTGCGTAAACCTCTAAGGGGGCGTTTGGTTAGGGGTTAACTGGGATTACTGGGGTAATGTCATCTTATATTACTTGATTACCATGTTTGGTTATCAAGTAATATAAGATACGGTAATCTTCAAATACCAATAGTAGTTACTATTGGTAATATCTGAGGTAATCTGATTACCTTCATTTTTTTAGGTATTCTGAGATTATCAGGGTTATCTTTTTTTGTTACAATTTTATCCCTTATTAATAAAAATTTTGGACAATAATACCCCTACTTTAAAACAAATTTACATTAATATCTTATTTCAATTTTACCCTTGTTTAATTAAAATTTTAGACAATAATGCCCTTATATTTAAAATTATTTACAGATCACCACTGCCACCCAGCCACCACCGCCGACAATAGGCCAACCACCACGGACCACCATCGGAAAATCGCTGGAGTCTCTAAAAAAGAAGAAAATTATGTGGAAGGCTTCGCTATGGCTGTTTTCGGCCATATGAGGCCAGATCGATGGATCTGGCCGCTAACGGCCAGGTCTGGACCAGATCTGGCAGGAATAGATCTGGTCGTTAACGGCCAGGTCCATGGCCGTTAACGGCCAGATTTGGCCATTTCTGGCTAGATCTGGCCTGATATGGTCATTTTCGGCCATCAATATGGCCGGAAACGGCCATATCGAAGCCTCCTGGAGCCTCCCACATAATTTTCTTCTTTTTTAGGGACTTCGGCGGTGGTTTGCGGTGGCAGCAGGAGGTGGGGGTGATTTCGTCATAAATTAAAGTTTTATATAAGCGGGGGTATTTTAGCTAAATCTGAAATATTGGAGGTTAAAAGAAATTATTCAAAAATTAATAATAAAAATAATATTATATTAATATTTAAAAGGAGGACAATTTAGTAATTTAAATAACATACCCATCAATTTATTCCGCATAACCAAACATATTAATATAACATACCCACTAACTAACCAAACATATTTTCTTAAAGATTCCTAATAATCTATTTTTCCAGTAATCCAACATTTTTAGTAATCTAAAATTCCTGAACCAAATGCCCCCTAATGATTATCCGTTATTAATAATCATGACAATAAAAAAGAGAAAAATTATTTATTACCTAATAAATATATATAACTGATTTTTGTTTTTCTTCATTTATTGAGGAGCACCCATGGGTGCCACTCCAGGCAAATATATTTAATAATTAATTAATATAATTACTGATTTAATAAGAGTACTGCTACCAAATTCATAAAACAACTCAATTAACTCATGCGAATATGCCAGACTCATTTACTGTAGAAACTAAAAGAATTCTGAATGTCTGATGGCGAGCAGTTGCACCACTTCCGGTTCTCGGAGTTGGGGCACAACCAGACAAAAAATAGAGCCAACTATCCATGCAACAAAAAAGTGAGCGGCGTCGCAAATAATAAAATCTGTACGAACAACACGTGTGAGATGTCACGTGACAAAACCACCAAAAAAAATAAAAAATAAAAAATAAAAAAACCAAAACACGTGGTTGGTGTCACAGTGAGGTGCAGGTGCTAAGTAAATCCCATATGTGACTTGACAAGTTAAGATAAAGATGGATATGGCTATGGCTGTCCCTTTCTCTCTCGAGATCCCCATGATTTTGACCTCGCTTTTACTGTTTTTGTTGTTTTATATATTTGTTTCTAACTTTCTTTATTTTGACTCATGCTTCTTCATCATTATCCAATAGGAATTCTTATATGCATTACTCGTATGCTTGTTCCAGTATGAGCGGTCCTCAATTTGACAGAGGGAACCTTTTATGGGTCATAAAATAGAGACGACTTTTATCAACCTCTCATTGTATATGTAACCTCAGATTCGTATTTTCTTCGGTTTAACAATATCATTGCCAACTCAACCATATCAAATCTTGCTTAGATTTTCTAATATTATATGGGAAATATCTAAAATATAGATATTTTACGGAAAATATCTCAAATATAGATATTTTATAAGAAATATCTTAAATATATACAGAGTAAAACTTCGATATAGTCATAATAGTAAGATCAACTAATTTTATTATTATGAAGAAGTTATAATTTAATAGATGTGTAATTACAAAAATTAAAATTATTGTTTTGATTTCCTTTTTTTTTTTTATTATCGGTGGTGTTTGGGCCAGCTTACATGTACCTCGACTAGTATCCCGTCCCAGAACAAGACTTTCAAAACAGGGTAAGTCCCACAGTCTATGATCAATAATATTAGCAACCGTTCTTGTGATTCGAATCTGAGACCACAGGAGGAGCAAACCTCTTGGCCCTAAGCCTTTATCACTCGACCAACCCATTGTTGGTTTTTTATTTCTTATTTTGTGTCATGTTTTAGTAATATAGTATTAGGATTTCAATTCATATTTTAGTAGGATCAAGATTTCAATTAAGTACTTCAATTGCCTACTTTTAAAACAAATAGAATATCGTGTCTTAGAACCAGCAAAGATAAGTGTCATTGATGGAACTGTAAATGCAGTTGATGCATGGTTAATTGATGTAAAACCACAAACAATTGCCAATGGTCAATTGATGTAAAACCACAAACAATTGCCAATGGTTTTAAGCACTGCAAAATTAGGACCCTCAATGTCAATGAATTGCAAGTTACAAATGAGGTGGATAAGAGAATAAAAGAGTTATTGCGGAATTGAGTTATCAGATTCGACAACTTCACTGCACTAATCAAATGGATATTATTTTTTTCATTCAATCATCCAAATGAGCAACAAATCATGTATGCTTTAACTAAAGAGAAAATCATTGCTACAATAAGACAAGAAGATAAAGGAAATAATCTTGAAGATGGTAGTATAGAGATACAAAAAATTTCGTGCCATAAAACTCTAAACGTGCTTGAGAAGCTAAAAAGATTTTAGCTTTAACAAGAATGTGTCCATGTTAGCGAGTTATTACATACTCGCAAGTTAAAATATGTGATAACAATTATAAAGCATAAATCATTGTCCTAAATAACTTTAGATAATTATTTTATTTCATCTTAAACCTTTAATATAATATAATATATATGTTTTGTAATATACAAATAATTA